GAAATCTTTTTTAATAGACATACTGGTCTCGTGAATCTGTGCGTGGAGCAATCTATGGAGAATATTCAACATGGATACTTTACAAAATCAAGAACTTGGGAACGAAAATTTCTAATTATGCAACTTTTCGAGAATGATCAAACCTTTAAAGTCAGAAGATACTCGAGACGCTATGAATCACTTTGTATTAGATTTCTTGATTCTTAATACTGTGAGAATCATGGACTCTAATGAACTAGTATTAGTCAGGTTTCTGATATTCGAACATGTCTTGATATATGAAGGAGACTTTCAAAATTCAAATATATTTAAAACATTAATTGGTTTACTCATCCGGCAATTCATCCCCATCTTCTCCACTAAAAGTGATTCTCCTGCGAAATGTCGACGAGCTGGACACTTGAGTATTTTAGAGGAGACACTCTGTTATTTTGATAAAGTCTTAAATCCAAATGGGTCGTTCAAAATGCCATCTGATCGTGTTATCGGCAAGACTATAGTGCAAATTCCATGAGTTAAACTGACTCTGCAAGGAAGATGTAGAAATTACCGGACAATGGCAATAAATATAGACAGTAATGACAAATATAGTGATTAAAAAAGATGATCAATGAATACTTCTCGAATTATTAGCAACTTTAACGAAAGAACAGCTTGATGAATAATATTATGATCAAGTATTTATTTATGCAAAAAGTCTTTTCGCGACTGAGCCATGGATCAAAGTATGATGCTGAATTGTACCCTATTGGTCGTCCGATAAAGTGTTAGAGTAGTATTCAAATTGTATATTTTAAACATAATCCTAGCAATTCACAAAGTTCACAGTGTCACATGTTCTTGGGATATTATTAGAAAAAAAAATGTCAATAATATTAAATTGATCGAGATGCATTTCATACTTACATTGCAAATAAATAATTCACTGCCTACTTTGCATTGGTTCTAACTACTTTGCCGAACATTAGCTGAAAAATAGACTGCATGTTTTTTTTTATTCGTAACATTTAACGTCTATAAATTTTGAAAATTAAATAATAATATAAGCATTGAAAAAAATGAAATCGTTTGCTTTGCTTTATTTTTAAACAACAACATATACAATTAAACTGTCACATTCCGAATAGTGCAATTGAGAAATTTTTAATCAATGTTGCTTGAGACCTTTTTAACTTCAAAAAACTAGAATTAAATTATTCAAGATACTTTTTGAGATATTTTTCATTTATTTTTTTTTCTTAATAATACTCTTAAATCAATGCTTTTTAAGGAATTTTTTTTTTGATATTTAATTTTGTTTATTTATTATTTTTTAGAATTAATTTTTCAAATTTTTAATTATAAATAATATATTATTTAAAACAGCAATATATACAGTATAATAAAATATTTTCTAATTTTATATATAAATGGTTAATTGAAACTAAAATAAGCTGATTTTAAAGCATATATCACTAATTTTCCAAATTTCCGATTAGCTGATAAAATTGATTATGCTTAGCTCATTTGACACTTAAAAACTAAAGATAAAGCAGATTTGCATTAAAATTTATTAGAGGAAACCTAATAGCTGATCTATAACTTGACTTTTTGTAATAGTGCATTTTACGGACATATATTCAATAAATGTTTTATT